ATATATATATATATATTCTCTCTTCATATGGATTGAATTCAGTAAGTAGTCGATCATGTTTTGTGAACTGTCGTATCAAACCAACCATGATGTGATTTGTGGCAAGGGTAATTGGTCTCGCCATCTCGAGTCAGTTAATAAATTAAAGAATATCTTTATGAAAGAAATTTGGATTAGCATATTACATGATATCCCGTGAGCATAAAGTCGAAGCATATAATATATATATATATATATATATCCAAAATGCTTCCAATCTTTCATTATTTTTTCTTTTTAAAATAATATGAGAAGATTATAATCAAAGAAAGTATTCTGTCCATTTGAACATGTCGAAAAAACAAAAGATTCCTTTTGGGACAAGCTCCCACTACAGATCATTTAGGGGACCTAAATCAGTCATGTGGATAAGCGAATTCCTTCCCTAATTCACATGTCCTATCCGATGCTGGTATCCTGTGTTTCTTTATTTTTGTCTCCTTTTTTATGTCCTTCTAATAGTACAATGACACGACAATTAAAATTTTTTATTATGTAAATTAAAAAATCATAATAGTTAAAATCATTTTAATTGACGTGGTATAATTTTATTAGAGAAAGGAGAAAATCAACGTATTAAGAGCACATTTGAACTCAATCCACCCAATAATATACTATATTGTGCTTCAATTATATGTTTCCTGTACTAGCACTTAAATCAATTCCATATAGAACCCAAGTCAACAGATCATATTCTTCTCCTATATCTTTTCTCCATCTCTTCTCTTCTACGTTTTTTCTTTTCCTTTTTTTTTTCTCCTCCAATGGCTGAAGAAAAGAGCCAGGAAAAATGGGAAGGAGAAGTCTCTGCTCAGTTGAAAGGCTCAAAAGCACGAGACGTTTGGCCTCTGGTTGCGGATTTTTGCAGCCTACACAAGTGGTTCCCAACGATCGACACGTGTCACCAAGTGGACGGTTCGGTCACCGGCGTTCAGCCGGGTGTGATCCGGTACTGCGGTTCCACGGTAACATCGCCCTCCGGCGAGACGACTATCAAGTGGGCCAAAGAGAAGCTCATAGAGATCGATCCAATCCAACGGCGTCTGAGATACGAGGTGCTTGGTAACAACGTGGGATTCAAGTATTGGGTGGCGAACATGCAAGTATTGCCGATCGACGGTACTGATGACGGGGGCGGGAGCGAGATCAAGTGGTCGTTTGTTGGAGATCCGGCTGAGGGTTGGACTTATGAGATTATGTTGTCGTATTATGACTCTTCTCTCCAATCCATTGCTAAGAAAATGGAAGATGCTTTGAGCTCTCAGGTCTAGTTGGGGCGGCTGAAAATGGTTTGACTCTTCTATTCTACGATAATGATGTATTGTGTTTGGCTATTTGTACTTGTCGTTCTTTTTCTTTTTGCTTCAAACCTGCGTGTCATCATTATAAGTTGTAATTTATTTTGTTGTTTTCTTTGAAATGGGCACGGATCATCTTTCTAATATTGGTGTCCAAAATAACCCAAGGGTTATAACATTAACCATATCAATATTCAAAAAAATTTACAGTTTTTTTAATTGACTTTTTCATTCTCTAATATTTGAATCTATTAAATAACATGTGTAATTGGCTAGAGACTATTTAAGATAAAAAATTAGATAGATGATTAGTCTTTTAGGGTGAATGTGGTTTTTTCTTTCTAGTATTGACTTTGGTGCTCAGCCGCGTCCACACAGACATCGTGCTCTCGCTCGACGACTATGAGGTAGACCCAAAAAAAAAAAAAAAGTAGATAGAGATCAGGTGGATACGATCGAACGATGCTTGTGCTACATGATCATAGATAATAATAATATGGGTTTCGTCTTGGGCTGCAATCAGTGGCGGGGCTAAAAAAAAATTTTCAGCTGGCGAACTGCCAAAAGAAATTACAGATAATATTTTTATTGAACATGAATATGGTATATATTTTAATTATTTAGTGGAGATACAGTTATAATAATTCTTATATATACACAGGGGGTTACGACTAAATTTCCTAAGAATTTCAGGAGTAAAAATTAATTTTTCAAAAGTGGCAGTCGCCACAGATCCTACAACCATGCAAGTATTGACAATCGACGGTGATGGAGAAGGTGGATCCAAGATCCAACGGTCAATTGTTGGAGATCCAGCTCGAGGTTGGATCCAAGTTGTCATTACGCTTTGCCTATTTGTATTATGTTGTCTTCTCTCTCTCCTTTTCATATTGCTTCAAATTTGTTGTAATAAGAAATCGTTGAAGGGCTTAAGTAAGCTTTAGTTTGCTCTCATCTTTCGCCTAGAAGGCATTTTCTCTCTACCAGCCATATTTGTAAAATATATAAAATGTTTGAATGAAAAATAACATATAGGGCGAGTATAAAAGAAGGAATATTGTTTAATTTTTAAAATGAAAGAACTTCAAAAAAATAAAAAAAATAAAAATTATAGGTATGTTATGAAATAATATCAAATATTTTGAACCGTTAGCTTTGTATTAAATTATGTCAATTCTGTTAATTTTGTAGACTAACCTATAAGTAGAAATACCCTATCGTAAAGAGCATAGAAGAAAACGTCTATACTAGAAACTGTCTATTTTTTCTACTCGTAGCAACTGTTGTTTTGGCTATTAGGTTAATTTTCAATGGTCTAGTATATGATTGCTCACATTAAAAATTTGTAATGCATGACACAATATTATTTCATAGATCAAAAGTTAAAAAGTTATTCTAACAACTAAAACGACAGTTTCGATTAGTAAGGAAAAAAAGATAGTTACTATGACAAATTTTCAAAAACAAGGGAAGAAAATTTTTTTCTACCGAAGACAGAGTCAAAAGTCTTTTTTATAATTTTTTTTTTCTGGGGAAAAAGTCAGTTGAATATTTGGGTATGAAAAGGTATCAGCCCGGGTTTTTCTCTTCTTCATATGGACTAAACTGAATTGGTCAGTCAGTCATGCATGTGGTCTACCATATCAAATCACCCGTCATGTTATTTGTGGCAAGGCTTTGGTCTCGAGTCAGTTTGAAGTATATCTTTAATGAAAGAAACTTGGATTAAGCATATTCATGATATCCCGAGAGCATAAAGTCAGAGAGCATATATGTATGTATCAAACATACTACTTTCCAATCTTTTCATATTTTTTTCCTTTTTATAATAATATGTGAGGATTATAGTCAAAGAAAGTGTTCTGTCCATTTTAATTTGTCAAAATGATTCCTTTTGGGACAAGAAAGCATGACAGATCATTATGGGGGACATAAATCAGCCATGTCGCTGAGCAAATTTCATCCCTCACATTAAGCGCCAATACACACAAACCAAAAATAAATCGTAGATTTAGATTGTAATTTAAAAACGAATTAGGATCTAAATAAATCATGTTGAATGATGAACTAAAATTCCTGCGACTGAGTCGTACGAACGCTGCTAAACATGAAACTATATATTATCAAGAAGAAACTCTCCAGGTTTTGCGCTGTCCAGTTAATTTCCAATCCATAATCCACATGAGTTTGCAATAAACTAAAACAATCATGTACATCACGCATTTCCTAATATATATATATATATGAAAGCACCTTGTGAAAATATAAAAAAAAAAAAAAAAAAACCATGAAAGTGTTTTCTATATATATTACTTTCATTGATCACCAACCAAACCAGTTAAACACTTTTTTTTTTTTTTTTTGGCTGAAACAGTTGAACTTTATTTATACAGTCTAGTATAGATATGTGTATCACCTACCAGCTTCTATTCCTTGAAAGACCCATGTATCCTTCTCCCATTTTCTTGGAAAGCAGGAGAAGCAAAGGCAGGGGAGTTTACCAAACATTGTTGCCATTCTCAAGGCCACCACAGAGTCTCTTCTCCATCCAGTCAATGATATCTTGAGCAATCTCTTTGCGTTCGGGCTCAAAGAGAAGGTCATGCAAGAAACCATCGTACAGTTTTATGTCCTTGAACTTGGATGCAGCCTCGTTGTAAAGATCCTTAGAGGCTAGAGGATCAGTGACCGTGTCCGCTGTACCATGAAGAACAAAGAACGGAACTGTGACGGACTTTAAGTTACGCATTAAATATGATGAAATACGCAGAATCTCGTGGCCTGTTCGGACCCTTATTGGTCCTGTGTAGACCAATGGATCCGAGTACTTCGCCAACAATGCTGCGGGATCTCTAGAAACTGGAATGCCCCTTTTGTTCGCACCTTTGAACTGGAACTTAGGAACAACCAGAGAGAATATTGGAGCCACAGCCTGTACAGATGGGGGGAAAGAAAAAGCCTCCATCAAATGAAAACAAGTTCAAAGTCAAGGAGACTTAATTAATTTCAGCTTGTGCTTTTCTGCTGGAAGAAGCTTTAAGCCAGCAATACAAAAGAGAAGTTTATAACACAAGCGTGATGAGATGTATACAAAATTTAATCTGTTAGGTAGGAAAATAATTTACCCCAACAATTGGATGTGCTGGCTTAACACGCAAAGCAGGTGAAGTTAGCACGATACCCTCAAGCATTTGTTCAATGTGTGGGTGGGAAGCTGCCTGTAAAAGGAACAAAGTTATTAGTTAGGAAATTACAGAAAAATCAACTAAAACACAAATAAAGGAAAGTTTTGATGCCTAACCTTCAAAACTACAGCCCCACCAGTGGAGTGACCGAAAAGGAAGCATGGTACTCCAGGGTTCTCGGATTTAATTTTTTCCAAGAAAGCCCCCTATAGAAAGAGAAAACAGAGAAGCTATGAGTAATCTCCATTTCATATCATCACATAATTTAACATGCAAGTGAGACTATCAAGCCGGAGTTCAGCAGCAAATTGACATAGGCGAGCTAGCAAAATTACTAAGCACCATCAATTTTTAAATTGGTGAACATGGCACGCAGATTGGCATTTTACAAGATCCAAAACACATGAAAGTGAAATACAGTAAAAAGCAATGTTTCCACTAGTTGAAAATGATATGATGCTGGATTCATAGAGAAAAATACAATTTTTCAAAAGCATGACCCAGAAAACATGATTAAAATTTAAGCAAAACTTAACAGTGTCAGCAACAACATGGTCAAGTGAAGGAACGTATCCGTGCAATCCATCGCTCCCACCATGACCTACCAAGAAGGCGAGAACGAAATAATTCAACAACCATCACGCAAAACCAACAACGCAAATAAAATTCACAATGAAAGACACATTGTTGCTGCTGATAACAAGAAATGGAACAGTTATCATAAACTATTCAAAACTAAGAACTCATGTCGCAACTTCCCATCACAGAGCCATTATAGCTAGAATAAAGAGAAGTTTCATCCCATTTGCATGCTCTCATTTCTTCAAATATCATTAAAGAACCACAAATAAAGATTGGATTCTACATGATTCATCACACAATTTGAAACTGTTTTTGCGAAATTTGGTTCAAACTATATATATATATATATATATATATATATAATCCTATTCAGCACAGTCATTTCAATATGAAAACAATATAATCGAATCAAATAGCTAAATATCTTTCGAAATCGAGATATCTACCTATCCAATCCATTGCATAGACCCCAAAGTTGCATGAGTTTAGTTGCCTTGCGAAATGAACATATCTGCCACTGTAAATCAACACCACCATATTTCACAAACAATTACTAATAAAACACCAAATTTTCAGTTCATGTAAGAGCTCAAAACAGTTAAAAACAAAAGATTAAGTACACATTCAATAAATGTAATCTCACCTATGCTCATTAAGCCCATGAATAATAATCAGAATACCCCTGAAAGTGCAAACAAAGGAAAAAAAATTAGCAAAACAGCTTTTAATTTTAATTAAAAAATTAAACAATAAAGACAAAAACAGAGAATCTAAAGCAATTTCACCATAAACCCAAAAAAAAAGGGAAAAAAAATCTAAACAATAATTAAACCAAACCGACCTTGATTAAAATCAACCCGAAACCCCCAAATTCACAACCAAAAAAACATAGATCATTTCTTTCCAATTAAAGTAAAGATTTTTTTTTTATTTTTTTTATTTTTATTTTTAAAAAAGTTCTTACTTCAATTGACCGGAAACCGGAATCCAAGACCGACAGAACAACGCGTTGTGTCTGACTCCGAAGAACAACGAGTTTCCCCAGCGGTAGCGGAAGTCCCGGTGGTCGTCGAATCCCATGTCCAAGGCCTCAGCGAGGGTCCTCCTCCTTAGGGTGTCCTCCTCCTCTATCTTCCACAGCGACTTCCGCTTCCTCGCCGGCGACGGCTGCTCGTCCGAAGAATGGCGGCGGCGGCGGCGGGGGAGGAGCGCGACGAGGAGCGAGATCACGAGCGTGTGGACGAACACCAGCGCCGACCTCAACGCCTTCAGGATCGGGATTATGCGGTTGCTGGCACCGGAGGTCAGCGGCTCCATCTCGGGCGTCGTCGCCATGGCGGAGAAGAGAGAAAGTCTAGAGAGAGAAGGGGAGCGACGCACGGGTATTGTGGAAGGAGAATTTAGGCGCGTGAGGTGATGGGTATTTATAGTGAGGTGGTGGTGATGGACTGCTAACGGTATCTGATCGTGTGGGGCCCGAGTCGGGGACAATCTGGACCGTCCGTGATCTTTGGACCTGCAAACGGTGACGGTGCTAAAACGTTGTCGTAAAAGGGACGGGTTCTGATTCTGCAGAGATAAGCAGAGGAAGGTGTGGTCTGGGAAGGAAGCGGGAGAGAGGAATAAATGATGCATTGGTCGCGTCTTTTGTCATTTGACGATCTGCAGAAGCCTTCGTAGGTTACTTAATAATATTTACAACTTTTTTATTTTTTTTATTTGTTGCACAATTTATTTTTTTTATTTTTATTTTAGCTTCTATTTAATGTTATTTACTATTATTGGTGATCCATATTCCGACCCATGTGAAGAAGAAGCTTCCATGCTCTTTAGTTTGAGATTTGACTTTTCTTTTGTTTAGGCTTTGAATTGAGACGCGTATGATCTGATTATTTGTGTTTGTTAAGGTCAGTTGGAACCGTTCGGTTTCACACAACGTAAATATTTATTAAGTGCCTGTTGGTTTCACATGTTTATTACTCATCATTCCATTTTATATATAAAAAAAAGCTTACATTAAAACAAAAATAGATGAACAAACCACATAAAATAAGGCTAATGATCAAATAAAGGAACGAACGAACGCCTAAAGCTTGAAAAAAGAACACCCCAACACACTAACACTAAAGAGACGGATCGCCGTAGCATTAAGACTACATTAAACACCGTCAAGACACCAGTCTAACATACACTAAGATTGAGTTTCAAAATGGACCCATAACACACAACTCAGCCTTAGAACAGTGAGAAAACCACCCTCTAGCACACACCTACCAAGACTCAGATCTTGCAGAATAATGAACTCGATTTCACCATCTCCGTTATTACCAACACAACCAAAACAAAAAAAAAAAACACAAAAATACACACTAAAACAATCTGGAACCTCCAAACACCGCCATCATGAACCTCCTGCAAAGGACTAGCCGAAAAAAGGGTCAATGGGGAGAGAAGCCGGCTTCGAGAGAGATGAGGTGAGGTCGAAAAGCTGACAAACAGCAGTGCATGAGGTTCACGGGCCATGTCGTAGGCGCACCGTAAAACGCATCCAAGAAAACTAACCACCAACCTCCTATTCAGGTTTGATCCGGCCCAACGAGACCACGACGCCACAACAGCCACCACTAGATGCTCACAACGAGACGAGTCAGATGACTAAGATTAATGGTCGGGAGTCCGGTGACGTGCTTGGAGGTGGTCCCGGAGCTCCAGCCAAAGCTTCCACACTAGAGTTTCTATCACTTAGAGGGAGAGAAAGAGAATTTAAATTTATGTCAACAACTCATCGTTATGGTTTGAACCTAATATCTAGTTTATAATTTTATATTCAGTTATTAAAATTTTAAACCTAAAATGTAATTAAGTGCCCATGTGAACTTAAAATGATGGATTTTAGAGAATTTAACCCCCTCTTAAATTCTCATGGGTTTGAACTTATTTGGTACAGTATTTCTAATATGAGATTATTTTTTTTATTTACTTATAATTTCTACACTAATCAAACGTCAGTTAAACTTTCATTCTCTAATGTGATACTTTATTTTTTTTGTTAAACTTCACACTTACGAACACCCGTTTCAATCAAAATAAACTTAAATTAGTTCAAAACTTTTTATTAAATCTCAAAAAATTTTAAACCACACAATTCAGATCCACAAAGTGAACTGAGCTTAAGTTTTACAGAGTAATAGTATGCTATTCTCTTTCTATTTTTTGGTGAAAATTTGTATAACTTAACGTTATTTATGAAATATAAGTAAGAATGCTTTAAAAAAAAACAACTATGAGAAATTAACTCAGTATTTTTTAAGAATTATAATCCTTGTAAACGAAAAGGCTCGTTTGTATTTCCTTGTAAACGAAAATAATTATGAGAAATAAACTCAGTATTTCTTAAGAATTAACTCATTATTTCTTAAGAATTATAATCCTAGAAATTAACTCTTTTGTATTTCTTAAGAATTATAATCCTTGTATTTCCTTCAAAGTGCTCCTTTTTTCGCTTGTGAAGGAAAAGGCTCCTTTAAGAACAATAGCTATCAGTATTAGAATCTATTTGAGAAAACTTGTTAAAAGCTGTTTTTAGCTTCTTAGTTTCAAAAGTTGAGTGTTGTAGATGATGTAGACAAAAAATGTTCTATCTTTTTAGAAGAGTTTCTAACTAAATCTACAGACCGAGGCTTTAAAAGAAAACACCGTTAAAAAAACTTTAAAATTTGTATCAAAATTTTATTAGGATATTATAAATTTTATTTCAATTCTTTTAATGTTTATTAAAAAATTTAAAAATAGTTTTAACCGATTAAACTCTTTTACTTTAAATATCACAATTTTTTTTATCTTTCTTTACTGACTAAAAAAATAAAAATAAAAATAAAAACTCTACCAAACTGGCGCTTATTGAAAGAGAAAAATTATTCCAAGCAAAGAAAAGGAAAAGATACCACTTTCAAAAAAGTTACTTTAGTAGTACAGCCGTTGGAGATTGTGGACAGCAAAAGACACATGAGCATCCACGTCAGCGAATTTCCCTCAAGCCTCGATACGGCCGAGTGAGGTTGTCAGCCACATGTTTACCTCAAGGTATCATACTTCTTTTTTGAAAATATAAGACGAGATACCTAATTGGACGTATTCATAACAAGTATGTATATATAATATATAGGATTAATTACATAAGTATTTCCCTTAGTGTTCACCTAAATATATCATATAAGATGTATAACAAATTATATAAAAAAATTTATAGGGTTAGTTACATAAGTATTCTTTACAATTTTTTTTTTCTGAATTTATCCTTTTAGTTTAAAAAGTACTAATACCTCGTTCATTTTACCGATTTAAATTTTTAGTTCTAGGTTTTTACAGTTAAATGTTATTTGAAAATGTCACATCTAATATTTTCAATTACAGTCTCTTAAAAAATATCATATCTCAACTCGAATTGAAAACTCAAATCCGCAAAGCGAACAAGGCCTAAAATATTCTTGAATTTTAACAATATATTTTGCTTTTACCATTCTAGTACTTTTTAGATAGAAAAACAAAAGGATAAAATTACCTAAAATAGTTTCTGCAAAAAAAAAAAAAAAATCTACGAAAATCTTTATGTATTATGAGCGGCTGATATGCTTTTTTTAATTATTATTTGTTTGTTTTGTGGCTTTGATTTTTTTTTTTAAATTGTTTAAAATATTTTTCACGTATTATGTAAGAATATCTTTTTTTTTTGTTATGTTTTTTACCCCAAAAAATTAGGTGAAATGTGAAATTGAAATACGCGTCTCAAATTTAAAAGTGAAACATTTTGTAATTTCTAAAATCAGATAAATAATTTAATGGAAAAGTTGAAATTATGAGATATAGTTATTTTATTATCCACAATTTATATTGATATAAACACAAATGAGAATTTCTATTTTGTCTGTCATTAACTGTGACCGCAATATATAAATCAGACGCCATATATGATCCCTTTTTGTTAAAAGAATTTTTTTTTTTTTTTTTAAACATCCTAAGAAAATTTCTTAAGTAGCATCGTTATTTTATGAGTTGTTTCCTATATATAGATATGCACAGATAATACACGATTTTCTTTTGACATGCATATTACATAATATTTTTTAAAGAACAAAAATAAATACACGAATTTAAAGACAGGTACAGAAAGACTCCAATGTCATGTTTAATTTTAATGTCCTAAATAATATATTAAATATACCATGTCATATCGTTTGGATCAAGCGGAACTTACAACGTAAAAGATTTCACTTTCAATCATCAGTGTATTTACAAGTACTGTAGAGGAAATGATAGATAAGCGAAACATTATCATCATCGTCATATGGTTTTTTCATTTATTTCTTTGGGATATTTTTTGAAGGTTATTTCTTTGGGATTTTTAGATCATAATAGCTTAAATTTTAAATTTTAACATCAATTATTGTCATAAGATTAAACTTACTTCCTTTCAGGAAAAAAAAAAAAAAGATTAAACTCGCTATCACAATCATGTAGTCATATAGTGTTCACGTGAATATCCATACAACTCCTATAAAACATAGGAGTATTTGCTGTTTGAAACAACTTTTTGTTTAATTCAACGGTTTGGATTCTATTAGGCAAACACATTTTATTTGTCTGAGTATCAAAAATTCACTTCGAAGATAAGTCACGATAGATATTTCATATTTTTAGTGATTGGTTAATGGTTTTATTTATTTTAAAAAGAATAAAATGGATAATGATTTAACATTTTTTTTGTCGCTTTTTTTCACTCTAATAATTAGCTCAATAGTTAACCATTTTAGAGTATATTTTACATTAACTAAATATAACTAGCAAAAAGAGGCTAATCAATCCATTGTTTTATTATTCTTTTGAATAGTAATAAACGCAATAGTTCTTTTTTAAATTTAATTAAGTTCTTTATATTTTAAACTCAATAAATATTTAGATATTTTATGTTTAATAAAAATAGAGAGTATAATTAAAGTGACTTACTCAAAAATTATTAACTAACTAGCTATTTAAATAAAATTTAATTAAAATTTAAGGAGTTCTTTCGAAGATACCCTAACATGCGATTGAAGGTGGATATATCTTTTAATAAATTTTGCTGCGTCTTTTATTTTATCATCATGTTCTTAAAAAATTTATTGCTCCCTATCATACGGAGAAAATAATAATCACCAACGACATTGTTATCATCATATGCTCTTTTAGCGCGGTGGCCATGACAACACCTGTCTGTATGCATCAACAAAATTGGCTACAAAATCAATGATTGATCTTAAAGGGCTTAATATAGACAAAAACGGATCCAAAGAAACAAAAAAAATAAATTAATATTATTAATAGTCTATGACTATGCATTGTCTTATCGGTATAAGCAAAGGTGAAACTCTTAGCAAAGAATGAGAAAAAAAGAAAGAAACAAAAAAGAAAGAAAAAAAAAAGAAAAGTGAAACAAGTTTGGTCCTTTGGCTATAGCTCTTCATTATTAACTTGCAGGCACCGCCTAATTCACACTAGAATTTTGGATGGGTATGGGGTCATCACACACAAAAAAGTAGCAATTAGCTTAGCCGAGATCAGGACTCTATGAAAGTGTTAGATGCTTACTTTTCTCTTCGTTGAAAAGGAATATATATATATACTGACATATTTAAG